TGTCTGAGATCGACATGAAAAACTGTAACAATGCTGTCTGAGACCGAAATGAAAAACTGTAACAATGCTGTTTGAGACCGACATGAAAAACTGTAACAATGCTGTCTGAGATCGACATGAAAAACTGTAACAATGCTGTCTGAGACCGAAATGAAAAACTGTAACAATGCTATTTGAGACCGACATGAAAAACTGTAACAATGCTGTCTGAGATCGACATGAAAAACTGTAACAATGCTATTTGAGACCGACATGAAAAACTGTAACAATGCTGTCTGAGATCGACATGAAAAACTGTAACAATGCTGTCTGAGACCGACATGAAAAACTGTAACAATGCTATTTGATACCGACATGAGAAACTGTAACAATGCTGTCTGAGACAGACATGAAAAACTGTAACAATGCTATTTGAGACCGACATGAAAAACTGTAACAATGCTATTTGAGACCGACATGAAAAACTGTAACAATGCTGTTTTCCATGTCGGTCTCGCATTGTTACAGTTTTTTATTTGAAACCGGCATGAAAAACTGTAACAATGCTGTCTGAGATCGACATGAAAAACTGTAACAATGCTGTCTGAGATCGACATGAAAAACTGTAACAATGCTATTTGAGACCGACTTGACAACTGTAAAACATTCGCTACTCACTCCTGTAGCTGCTTTCATGAAGTTTCTCTATCTCTCTCTGTCCTGTGCAATCTCTTGACTATTCGTCATTTTCTAAACTAACATCAAAAGCGTCCTCTGCAACATTATCTTGCGATCTTCCAACCATAGCAGGCTTGACCAGTCTATTGTCTTCCATTCTGGCAACATGCCCACGCCACTCTTCTTGCTTTTACGATAATTATAAGAGGAGTCAAACCGGCCATCTACTCCTGATTGTGTCATCATCTCTATCTCTTCTCATCTCTGTCATACATTGGCCATATGAGAGAACTGCTTTTATAACGTTTGTTTGTAATTAAGCACAAAGCTACACAAAGGGCTATCTGTGCTCTGCCCACCACGGGTATCGAAACCCGGATTCTAGCGTTGTAAGTCCACAGACATACCGCTGTGCCACTGGGGGACAATTTTAGTGTTTGTTTGTTTGTTTGTAATTAAGCACA